TCCTTTGAGTTGGTATCTATGCAAGAGAAGACATTTATTGGGATAAATGATGAAGTCAAGCTTAATTGATAGCTTATGTCTGCAGTAAAGCACCCCTGTTTTTCTTTAACAGTTATATTGATAGGGAAATTTGTTTCTGCAGGATTAAATCTTAAATTTGTAGCTCTGGTGCATGCATGCAATATTTGTTCTCTCTTAATTTTTATGCTCCCCTTCGAAGAAGGGAGGGAATATTGCTTTGCTGCTGTCTGTCGGTCAATCCACTAACAGTTTCCATTCATTTTCTTTGCAGAGGTTGCACATAGTGAAAAGAAATTTGGTATACAGATTTATCTAGGTCAAGTTCTGTTTTGGATACGATCAAGCAATTTCTTATGCCCCTTGGACTTAGAAAAATTCCAATTATTTGCAGTTTCCATTCATTTTCTTTGCAGAGGTTGCACATAGTGAAATGAAATTTAGTATACAGATTTATCATAAGAATATCTAGGTCAAATTCTGTTTTGGGTACAATCAAGCAATTTTTAACAGAGTTATACCCCTTTGACTTAGAAAAATTCCTGTTATTTGCAGTTTCCATTCATTTTCTTTGCAGAGGTTGCACATACTGAAATGAAATTTGATATACAGATTTATCATAAAAATATCTGGGTCAAATTTTGTTTTGGGTACAATTGAGCAATTTTTGACAGAGTTATGCCCCTTGGACTTTGGAAAATTCCAATTATTTGCAGTTTCCGTTCATTTTCTTTGCAGAGGTTGCACATAGTAAAATGAAATTTGGTATACAGATTTATCATAAGATTATTGAGGTCAAGTTCTGTTTTGGGTACCATCGAGCAATTTTTGACAGAGTTATGCCCCTTGGACTTAGAAAAATTCCAATTATTTGGGGAGGGGGGGGGCATAAGTGTTTCACAAACATCTCTTGTTTCTTTTCAGTTATTTCATTTTAATTTACTCTATTAGTTTAGGTAATATTTTAGCATGCAGGGACGTATATACTTAAGTGAGACATTATAGGCAACTCTAGGTAGTCTCACAATATCTTGCAAGTTGAACGCGTCTACTTTCTGTTTGTCATGTTTTGAATGAGATACATGTTACACTGTAATTTAGTTTATTTAGTTTCATTAATTCTACAAATGTTCTTTTCAGTTCTTTGCAAATTCCTAGGGACATGTCCAGTCTTGAAATCTCAATTACATCACTCTTAGAATTTTTTTTATTTTGATAGAGCAAATATCATCAATTTTTACCAAACTTTTCGATGGTTCTTTATTGTAACATTGAGCAGCGCTTCAAAAGTTTCCTCGACTTCTAGTTCGATTGCAGTATAAGGAAAAAATTCACATCCACTGTTTTTAACTATTGACGTATCGTACATATAGAGAGTGGACAGGCATCGGGAAAAACTTCATACATTGTAACACAGCATGAGTTACGAAGTACGAACTTTCCCAATCTCATTCTTCTGTCATTCCTCAACCAGTTGTTCCGAAGTCTTTTGTGTGTTTCGTGTAAAAAGTCAAAAAAAAAATGTACTCGGATATTTTTGGATGCACGGGCGGACATATTTTTTTGATAATATTATAATTTGGATTTGTTACAAATAGAAGCTGTGAATCCAATGAACTTTATTGCAAATTGGTATGGCCGAAGCTTGTTTGTGACATTTTTGGCAAGTAAACATAGTGCTGAAGAAGTTGCCTGTCCAGTTATGTCCCTGATTTTAAACATAAATGAACAAACACAGCAGTTATATTCCACTTTGGACATTATTCACTGTAATATGTACCATTGCAAAACAAATCAGATGTCAGTCAAAGTAACTTTTTTTTATTAAAAAGAAAATTTCTTCAGTCATAAGTTCCTAAAAGGCTTACAATGTGTTGCAGTACTTAACATGAGGTTAAATGTAAGTTTGTGATCTGAAAAACAGCTTACTTAGGTTGCCTGATTGAAGTCACAAGAGCTGTACTTATAGTAGGTATTTCATGTTGTTATATCATATGAGGGGATCTGGCTGGTTTTATATATATAAGTAAGAATGTGCTCTGGTTCAAGTGTACAGTAATAGAAATGTCTTTAACCTTGAGTAAAGCATTGTTAAACACAATTTTACAGACTTTTCTCTAGCTAGCCTAATTTTAGACATTTATATGAAGTATATATTTTAAGACTGACAATAGAACATTTTTGCAAGCCCCAGTTATATCTATGTAGATAAGGAAATCTATTTAAATACATGAGTCTACTATAGACCTGCTTAAAATAACTTCATCTTTCCTCAACATATCTTATTGCAGAGTAAAATTCTTTGACACAGAGTTGTGGAATGAACATTATAGTCTAAAGTTATTTTCCTTCAAAGAAAAATTTAATTGCCCTTTACATGTGTATGAGAATCTCATCCAGACCTAATACAATAAAACTCGGTTATAACGAAGTCATTAGGACCTGTGAAATTACTTCGTTATATCATAATTCATTATATCCATATAAGGAATTCGTTAAATTTATATAGCTGGGGATCCAAGAAAACTTCTCTATATCCGTGTCCATACTAAACGCGTTTTACTGTACTTTGAAGGATAGTATTTTTAGGTCACTTGACCAGTATTCTGTTTATTTTTGTCTGTCATCGTTCGACATGTGATGTGCATCATGCATTAACATTTGAACACTATCAGCTGAAGCAGCTGGAACTGCTGAACCAATATCAACCAATTTTGGCATAAAGCATCTATGGGTGAAGGGAAACAAAAATTGTGAATTTCAATATCCCTGTCCCCATAGGGCCTGGGGGTGGGACTAAAGCCATTAAAATTAACGCAATCTTTAAAAATCTTTAGTTCTGCATCAAGCAGTCAAACTGTTGGCACCAACAGGTGCTAAAAGTTAGCTTGTATTTTTTTATTTGTTAAATTGTTCATTATAAATGCACAATGCTATAATTAGAAATACTGCGTTATACACAATGAAAACAAACAAAATACTGTATGGTAATATTTATCCAGTAAACTAAGAATGTAAAAGGGACCCTCTACTATACTTAAGTAGAGAATGCCTTTCAGCTACTTCTGTCAAACTTCTGAACCAATTTCAACCAATTTTGGCATATAGCATCTATGGGTGATGAAAATTCAAAAAAATTTGGAATTTCATGCATGCCCTGCCCCCAGGGGCCCGAGGTGGGCTATTGGGCTAAGACCAAACTTAAAAAAAATTTTTAGTCCTGGACTTCAAGCAGTCAAACTGTTGGCATAAATGTAATAATCATTGATCCCTCTACCAAAATTCATGGCCCTAGGATAAGGGGTTCTTGGGTGGGTGGGTGGATCTATTGATCATAAAGTGAAAATACATGTAATGTAATTTTTTTTAAAAAGCATTTTCTCTGCCCCTGTATATTCAGCAGACAAATTAAGTTCTGGTTATGATAATAAAGAATGCATATTTCAAATTTGTGAAATTCTTGGCTACTGGGTCAGGGGTTCTGGTGTTAGGGTAGGGCTATATTAATAGTATATTGAAAATGCATATTTAGCTCACCTGAGCCGAAGCCTCAAGTGAGCTTTTCTAATCACAATTTCTCTGCTGTCCATATATAGTCACTGTCATTGGTATTATCATTGTAAACTTTTTACAATTTCATCTTCTTCTCCACAATAACTTAGACCAATTTCAACCAAAGTTGATATCCGGGGATGAAGGAAGAAGTTTTTCAAAACGAAAGGCCACACCCTCTTCTAAGGGGAGAAAAGAAATAATGAAAATTGGGTGTGCTCATTTAAAACCCTTCCTCTTAGGATTGAGCCACTAAGGTTGATCAGTTTTACATGGGTATATTTAGGAAAAATCTTTAAACATCTTCTCAAGGGCCTTGGGCCTCATGTCTTATTCAATGAATGAGTGAAATTAAATTTGAATCACACATAAAACTTAATTAGGAAACAATAGGTTTGTCATCATAGAAGCTGCCAGCATATCATACTTCAACCTCACTGAATTGGCCTACTGAACCTCTATGGAATTGTTGAACTTGATAGTATATTTTAATGTCTAAACTTTGGTTCTTTAGCTGTAGATGTTTAGATACTAGATTTGATGGGATTCTAGAAAGTTGTGTAATGTAATAGATTCTGAAGTCTTAATGAAGTGCTTTACATTTACATTATGAATCAAAGCTCTGAAATGTATTCCCCCCACCCCCCAAGTTAAAAAAAAAGATAAAGGGGAAAGAGTGAGGTCAAATACTGAAATATATTGATTTGACCCATTTATTCTTTTGAACATTAATTAAGACACTATGAATATGTTGGCTCCCTGCTCCATTTACATACGTGTACCTGAACGATACCAATGCTCTGACATAGTTTGTGGTTAATATGACATCTTCATAATACACAGTAGTGAAGTAATTCGTCATAACAACTCTTTATCCACTTGAATAGTACATCATTACTTATATAAGAAATAATGGCCCACTTTCTTCATTACGCATTTATTGCATAAATGTTACTAGTCTGTTTATTTGACATGGACAATCGGGCTTTTGTGGTTTGAAGGTTTCCTCAGCAAATCTGCAAAATATGTTGTCGTATCTGACAGATGGATTATGTAATATTTTCAATTTCAGCATTTTTTTAACGGTGCGGTGAAGAAAAACAAATCTTTAAGTAATATATATAACAAATATTGGCACTATAAATGATAAGTACAATGTTTTTCCATATATGTATAAATATGATATAAGACAAGTGTGGTATTATGCAACTGGGAACAATTCCATTTTAAAAGTTTAAATTATTAAAGGGTTCAGGACATTTTGAGTAGCATCAAGCAATTACAGAAATTTGAGATCACATTAATTATTTTACAGTAGCCATTAAAAAAAAATCCTCCTATGATTTTCAGTAAAATTGATGAAAGATACATGTATGGTATTCTTTTTTTAGATTACTTTTAACCAGCTTTTAACTTTTCCTGTATTTCAGATATACATGTCCATTCTCTGGCATGGTGGAAGACTCGGAATGGCTTATTACGACACAGAAACAACACATATTTTTATGTTGTTGGATGTGGTGGAGTCTGATGAATTCATTTTTCTAAAGAGAAGTATGATAGTCAACCATTTGAATATAAACCTGTCAATAGGAAATCTCCTCCCCCCCCCCCCCCCCAATGTTTCTGTTAAAATGAACTTGTAATTGTACATAGTATGTAATCATTATAATATTGAAGATAATCACTAACAAAAAATGTTCACTAAAGATGCTATGGTAATTTATTGTAGTTTTGGGACAATACCATCCTTCTTGTGTAGTGCTGAGTTCCAAACAAGATGACAGACTTGTACAAATGCTCAAGACTTTGGGTAATAACATGAACTCTTAATAAATTACTTCATGAAAACATTAATTTTTTGGAAATTAGTACTTGATATCATTGCTATGATGTATCAAAGAATAATTTCTTATAAAAGTTTATCCGAACAAAAAAGATGACATCTCTCAAGTAACAATCATTAGCCTCTCCTCTCTTTGAAACCATAGGGACTAAAGGTTTTTACCTCCATCTGCCTGTCTGTCCATTACCTGTTTTCCAGGAAATTTAAAATTAACTGTTATATTAGATTAAGATTTTTACACAGTTGTATATAGAATGTTACAGATCTACCTTAAGTTTCGTAGGATTGCAACCAATTTTGTTGGAGTTATGGCCCTTTAGCGACTGAAAAATGTATTTGAAAAAAATTTTGGAGGGAATAATGGTGCTTCATCCACTAGCTGAACTTTGAACTTTTGCTAACACTTTAGCACTTCAATTAGTGATATCAAACCACTGGTTGATTTATGTTGTACACGTTGCTAAGAATTGCTGTCACTGGTAGGGGATGTGTATTGTTTCAGTAATACTTTCAGAATGCTTGTTATTTTATTTCTTGAATAATCTGTAAGACACAATTGATTAGATATTGCTTTTAATGTACAATTATCATTTATTTTAACAGTTTCCACTAGGAATGACACAGCACATGCCTCTGTTTTAACAGATTTTTCTACATCCTTTTCTACAGAAGACTCAAATATTCTCCAGTTTCTCCCAAGCATAGATTTCAGTAAGCCTATTATTTCCTAATAATGTCATCACAACATAAAGCACCAACCTCTTTACAACATGCATCCAAACAGAATAACTGTTTCAGACAGTGTGAACAAAAAGCTTAACTGGATGTCAAAATTACTCGCATTACGGTTATTATTTCTTTATTAGGTTGTGTATATGTAAAAAATTATAGTGAAAAAGAATTGCTCTTACAAGCACATGTAATGCCCATTTTTTGGCCTGTTTTTTTTTTCTTTTTGTAAATGTGATTTTATTTTTAAAAAGATACATGTTATAAAAGATGGTATATTATAGATAACAAACATGCAAAAAAAAAAAGAAATAGATAAGAAAAGTTACAATTTTACTCTGCTTATTACTGATACTTTGATATTTTACTATGTTTCTACTTCTACAGATCCTGATATTTGTAAGAGAAGGATTCTAAATTTGAATCTCCCTGGGATACCAGAGCACTATACAGACACCGAGAAAACACTGTATTTCTCCTCTCTCATCTCATTTGACAATATCTCCACAGTACGTACATATTCTATGAAGTACAGTGAAGGCAAAGTCATGTTTTGTTATGTTGTATAGAAGGTAGAACTTGAAGCCATGAAGGATTGTTTTGCAAACAACTGCTAAATGATTGCTTTTCTTTTTCTTTTCTTATTGCACCCCCCCCCTTTTCTACATCAGCTGATAAAGGAAATAATTTACAATACAAAATAATGGTTTTTTTAGCTCACCTGAGCTGAAAGCTCAAGTGAGCTTTTCTGATCACATTTTGTCTGTAGTCCGTCTGTCTAGCTGTCCATCTGTCTGTCCGTCTGTAAACTTTTCACATTTTCGACTTCTTCTCCAGAACCAATGAACTTGCCACAAAGCATCCTTAAGTAAAGTGGGTTCAAGCTCATTCAAATGAAGGGCCACACCCTCTTCCAAGGGGAGATAATTAAGAATTGGTGAAAATTTGGTGTCATCTTTTAAATATCTTCTTCTCAAGAACCATTTGGCCAGAAAAGTTGAAACTTATGTGAAACCTTCATTAATAGTGTAGATTCCAATTTGTTCAAATCATGACCCCCGGGGGTAGGCCACAATGGGGGATCAAAGTTTTACATAGGAATATATAGGAAATTTTTTTAAAAATCTTCTTCTCAGAAACAACAAAGCCACAATTAGTCATATTGATATGGAATCATCCGGAATCATCCTTAGGTATTGTAGATCCAAGTTTGTTCAAATCATGACCCCTGGGGTGTAGGGAGGGGCCACAATGGGGGATCAACGTTTACATAGGAATATATAGGAAAAATATTTAAAAATCTTCTTCTCAAGAACAAGAAAGCCATGATTAGTTATATTGATATGGAATCATCCTCAGGTAGTGTAGATTCAAGTTTGTTCAAATCATGATCCATGGGGGTAGGCTGGGGCCACAATGGGGGATCAAAGTTTTGCATAGGAATATGTAGGAAAAATCTTTAAAAATCTTTTTAAGAACAGGAAAGCCATGATTAGTCATATTGATATGAGAGCATCCCCAGGTATTGTAGATTCAAGTTTGTTCAAGGCATCCTCCAGTAGTAGGGTGGGGCCATAATGGGGGATCAAAGTTTTACAAAAGAGCATATATAGGAAATATCTTTAAAAATCTTCTTAAAGAACAACAAAGCCATGATTAGTCATATTGATATGGAAGCATCCTCGGGTAGTGTAGATTTAAGTTTATTCAAATCATAACCCCCCACCTCCACCCCCCACCCCCACCCTCAAGTACATTTTTTAAATTAAAATTCCGTTTTCAAGAACAGCAAAGCCATGATTAGTTAGAAATGGAATTTAGAGTTCAGCCATTATGGTGTAGAGGTTTGTGTTTAGGATGTTTTTAATGTTTGTTTTAAGACTACCAAAGACTCTTCAATCCAATGGTTACAATATAGAATTCTCCATAGAATTTTACCTGTTAATTATTACTTGAAAAAAATCAATGCTGTATCATCTGATAGCTGTTCCTTTTGTAAACATCAAGTTGAGACAATTCAACATATTTTTATTAATTATGAAAAGGTATCCCCACTTTGGAGTGATCTTAGCATGCATATTTATCAAATAACTTCAAAAAGAATTGGTTTTAATGTAATTAACATTTTATTAGGAGAACTTCCATTGTCTAAAGGTAATAGAGTTGTAAATTTTCTGATCATGTATACAAAACAATATATTTTTTCTTGTCTAAAAAAAGGCAAACTACCAAACTTCCTGGAACTTCTCTTTCACTTGTACAATAAATATAGGGTTGAAAAATGTATTGCAAGCCAGAATTTGGAAACGCAAAAGTTTAATAATACCTGGCAAAATTAGAAATGTTTATTTGACAATGTTAATAAGTTATAATCTCTTACGATATGCAAGACTTTTTAAATTTTTTTTTTTTTTTGTATCCTTATATTGATTTGTTGATGTATTTTTTTTTCCCCTATCATTTTGTTAGATATAAGAACAAGTATGCTTCCACATACCAAAATGAATATGTGTGAGTGAGAAAGTGAGAGCGAATGGTGTGTAAAAAAGAAAGAGAATTAAGTAATGCAGTATGTTTGTATTAAGATGAAAAAAAAAAAAATGATTAGTTATATGAATATAGAAGCATCCTCAGAAAGTTAAGGTTCAATTTCATTCAAAACTTGGCACCTGGGGGTAGGGTATGACTAGAACAGGCAATCAAAGCTTTACGTATGAATATATAGGAGAAGAAATCTGCTGATGAAGAACAGCAGGGCCATATTGACTCAGGTGGGCGTTATGGCCCATGGGCCTCTTGTTGATCTTGACATTAAACTTAATTAAGAAATTATTTTTTTATCAGATAAAGTTGAACTTCAGTATCTTGAACACTGATATCTCAAATACCATAGATATGTCAAAGTGATCTGGGAAGTCCCAACCCCTCATTCTTTAAGTATAATATATTTAACCTTAGATATCTTGATTTCTCAGATATCTAGAAGTTTTTTCTCTGTCCCATTGAGTTTTAAATAACAAGGTTTGACTGTATATGGACTAATTGGACAGATTACAGTATATTCTTGCTGTACATTTTTGGATGAACTTCATTCCAAATAATGCAAACTCCTTATCACTTCCTATAAAAAAGTTGTGTAACTTATCTCATTGCTTTCTTTCCATTGTCCTTCAGATTGATTGTCTTGATACATGTATTAAGATTACATTTCCAGATCCGAGCAACAGGTGGGTTGTTGAAGTACCTGGAGAAAATGAGAATAGGTGTAGAGCTGGAGGATCCCTCTATCAGAGTGCCAGTGATGGATCTCAAGGTTATCACATTGTAGGTTCTGATTTCTGGAAACAGGGTTGAGATGAGACAAGTACTAACGTTTAAAATATTTGACTTCATCTGTGCTCTCTCTCTCTTAAAGAAAAGATACCGGTAATTACATGTATATATATATATTCACATCAGACATTAAAGGCTAAATTAAGCTTTTCTGATCTGTCTCCTGCACCTGTCTCTGTTTTGTTTGTAAACTTTTCATATGCATCTATACTACTATATTAAAATAATAGACTCGAATTTTTGGCCTTTAATACCGATAAATCGGAAGAGTACTGTCGTTTGTTTTATATATTTTAAACATCATTGGTACTTGAAGATTACCAATTTGTTTTTATTTTTTCTCAATTAAGCTTCGCTAATTAATAATCAACGAAAATTCCTCAAAAAATTTCGGAAATCATCTGGATTTTTTGGATTTTACAATCTTGCGCGTGCGTATTACATTCACGCTAAATCACGGTGTTCAAATCAGAGAAGACAAAAGTAATTTGAACTAAGTAGATATATATTTGTTATTTTATAATTTTCTCTAATAAGAAATCATAAATATATATGAACAAAATATATAGCAGATTTCCAATGAAAATTTACACGTATTTGTATTAATGTTTCTGAGTTTATCCATGCAAATGTGATATTGTGGCCACTTGGGTAATCATTCGCCATTTTGGAGACGCATTTATTATAAGTTATTTACGTCTCTGGTCATCTCAACGGAGGCAAAAAGCTCATGATCATAGGAGTAATATTATTGTAACCATGCACCAGATTTTATTTTATCCTTCCTTTCTTTTATGCTTTTTTGAGGGGAAAGGGGGATGTTACAACTCCAGCTAGAATCACTTCTTCTTAATGAAGTATGCATTCTTTTTCCGCCAGAAATCACAATAACATTATTTTCATTTCTTAACTTTGAAATAAATCGAAATAATCAAATAACGTCAATATAACCGATATTTTCAATTTGAAATGTGTCTAAATGATTGCAACTTGAATTTGTTCGCCATGTTTACTATTACCTTCACTGCTGAGATTTATAACTTCACCTCCAAAAATTTCTTTAACTTTGAAAAAAAAGTGGGTGAAATATGTATATAGAAGGGACAGCCTGTTCTTCTAAATATGTAAAGGTTGTTGTGGTAACTACGCTTGATAGGTAGTCTGAAGTCAGCCCTTGCGGCCCGTACAGTTCATTCTATCAATGCTACTAAAATATCGATTGTTTGTAAAATTTAATCCATGCATAGTTTTTCTCAAAACTATGAGGTGGGACAAAATTAAGATCGTAAAAATATTTATTCAATGATGAAATGAATTATATTTAATCGTAGCAAACAAACTTATGTTTTATTAAATCGCCACAAGAAAAAATACACCTGATATTATTAATTTTTATTATGATCTCTTGAACAACCAGTATGTTTTTTTTTTTTTGGGGGGGGGGGGGTATTTGCAAGATAATCTGTTCTGCTTCACATCTGCTAAATTGTGTAGAAATACCAGTATAGCACATTTGTCCATTTTCATTTCTGCCTTTACAGATTATATACATGTCTATTACCTGTGTATATATAGAATATATGTATTAGCAGTGCTTAATAACTCTTTTATTGTTGAGGTCATATTTTGAACAAGTTGAGACCTGCAGTGTTAAAATTGTTACAAAATTTTTTACATCTTTAGTTTAATAACTAATTGTGTAAAAGTACCAGCTAAATACATTTCTTCATTTTCATTACTTTGCTTGATATGTATCAGCAGTGCTCAACTCTTTGTTGTTGTCATATTTTCAATAAATATCCATAATTTCTTTTATTAAATCTGTTTGGAAAGGTGAAATTTATGTAAGCTCCGGAGTGATTCGAACTCATGACTTGATTTATAGCTAAATGGGGGTCAAACCCATTCTGCGCTACGCCGTTACGCAACAATTTTGCAAAAAAAAAAAAACAAAAACAAAAACAAAAAAAAAACAGAATTATATTCACTTTCATTGTTTATTTCAAAAGTACCTTACAATATATGAATGTGTCGATGTATCTATTTTGTAAATGTCCGATATATGCACATGGATGCATTCATAACAATGTCAACCCGTGCACGCACGGGTCAAAGTCTAGTAACTTCTTAAATACATGTACTACCAGGCCATTTTGAAACAAACTTAGATCAAAATATCTTTGAATGAAGGGGGATTTAATTTATTTTCAAATGGAGGACCACAACTTTTTTATTTCCCCACTATCAAAAGGTTGGGGCATGTAGTGTTACCCTTTTCCATCCATTATTCCACCATTGTCATTCTGCCGTAGTCAGTTTTCCAGCATGTGCTGTGCTTGTAAAAAAATAAACCAATTTTTATAATTTTTATGCCCCCCCCCCCCCCAATATGACCAAGGAATATAGTGTTTTTCATGTATGTCTTGACCATCCCTCCTTCTGTCACACTTTGTGCTTAGCTCAGTTCAAAGAAAATATTCAAGATATTTTTATCAAACTTCATATGCTGATACATATTGATGAGAGCTAATCAACTGTATCAATATTTTTAGACCTTGACCTTTCGTTTGACCTAGACCTTGCTTTTCTTAAATTAGTGCTTAGCTAAGTCTCGAAGAAACTATTTAAAATATTTTTATCAAACCTTACATGCTGGTACATACTGGTTAGAATTATTCAAATTCATCAACATTTTTTTTTACCTTGACCTTCCTTTGACTTTGACTTCACTTTTCTTAATTTTATGTATAGCTAAGTTTCAAAGAAACTTTTAAGATAGTTTTATCAAACTTCATATGCTGATACAAAGAAAATATATTTGTATCAAACCTTATGAGAGCTGTTCAACTGCATCAATTTTTTGACCTTGTTTGGATGAGTAACCAGTTTTAAGTTTTTAGAACAAGTCCATTCTCAAGTAACTGCAAGCACTTTCAAACCAAAATTGCATAAATGTTGCATCTAGGGATGCACACTATTAGATTATTAGTTTAGTATAGGACTTTGCCTTACTTAAAGATAACATTTGTTGAGGTGAGCTCTGTAATCTTTCATTACCTATGTTTTTTTAATGATATTTTAGAAAATTCAAATGCTAACTTTAGCAAAAAGGGAACAAAGATTATGAGGGTATTTAAAGAAGAGATTAAAGTTCTTAACAAAAGAAGTGATTTTTTTTGGAGGACGTAATTAAAGTATTATTTCTACTCATGGAGTTTAATGTTCTATATTATGTGAAGCAGAATTAATTTAAGTGATAATATACTCTGGTTTTGAATTGTTTAAAAAGGATATTGCATATGTTACTATTTTTTGTAACAGGATTCTTTGTTATTTATAAAAGCTAAACAATGAGGGCTTTTTATACATCATTAATGGCTGATTTGTGAAAGTAAAAACAATTGACAATCACAGGACAAGTCATGCAATAATCATGCATAGCAAGGATATGTAGGATTTTATGAATGAATGACAAACAGATCAACAGGAGAACATTAAGTAAAGAGGGGGGAAATCAAATAAGTAGTTTGATTTTGTTTATTTAGGACAAAGCTATTCTGATTTATCATTATGACTCTGCAAAACAACCCCCCCCCCCCCCCCCCCACACACACACACAATCTTGGAAGTGTTCACTAAATTAAGGAAAAGTCTTTATTTTAAAATTTTTTTTGGCAAATTACAAAGAAAAAACAGTGTTTGTGAAGATGTTTAGGACAATGTATTTTGACATGTCCTAATTTTGCTCCCCTTCTATGATTACAGTGCAAATGACGCTGTGGTTTTGTTTTTTATTTTATCACGTTTAATCATCAAGTGATTTCACGATACGAGTCTCCTGGGGACAAAATCATTTCCGAGATCATAAACAACTTGAAACCTGCAAAAGATACTTGGTGTGCGAAGTGAACTTTTCTTAAGGGCCCTTACTACTATACTTGACTGTTTCCACATTCTGAGATACTACTTCGTACCATCCTCTCAAGTGTTTCTTTCATTTTCAGTTATTTAATTTATAACACACCTTTCATTATTTTAAAGCTTTATTGTCATGTAGGCAAATCTTAAGTGTTCAATAATATATGTATATTTTTTTTTTAAGTTGGTATGGTATTTCGAAATTTTGCCTCTGACAGTAGATTTGAAGTGCCTCTAAAGGTTAAAGAAAAGTCATTGTGCTAATGGCCTTGTGGTCTTACTTCAAATAAAATGTGGATAGCAAAAATGTAATTGGGAAATACACTTTTTTTATGCCCTTAGTGGTGCAAAATCAGGGGCATTAGTGTTATGTCTCAAGATATCCTTCCCTATACTAATAGTTTGATTGGTTCAGTATACATTATTATGTATTTTTTGTGGTCTGAAAGATAAGCTTATACTGTATTTATAACTTTGTTTTCTCATTTTTCAGAAATCTTGTATGCTTTTTTTATCCTACAAAATCATGAACTTTACCTTGTGCACTTCCCATTTTTTGAACTTGCCTGAAGAGGCCAGTCCTATAAAGCCTGTTTTGTGCACATTTCATTTAAGTGTAAATTTATGCAAAAATTTATGCCTAAAAGGAAAACTCTTTATTACACTCTAAGAATTACAGGTAGAAACTGTTGTCATTTTTTTAATCTCATTTATTGCAAACAAAGTCATTGATGATTCCAAGATATTGGTAGGATATTCGGATAGGTTTTATATTTGTCCAAAGGATATAGATATATATAGGTGTAAATCGTCAATAAAATGTCTTGACTAAAGACATTATTTTTTTTTTATTGTGTGTTTGTTTTTTCCAGAGATGATCAAGTTGCTTTGGATGATACAGCATTCAGGTATTTTATCATAAAATACATAAAATCCAGCTTAAAGAGGAAATAAAATCTGTTTAAAGGGAAGTAAAGAGTACTTGCACATCTAGTAGTATGAATATAGATTAATTGTCTTTCTTTTCTTCCAGTGCTTTGCAGATTTTTCATAAAGAGGCCCATCCTTCTGTTTACAAGATAGGACAGGGTGGAGCTAAAGAAGGCCTCAGTCTGTTTGGTATGTGTTGTTTCATTAGAAAATAAATTTAAAAGTTTAATTTCTCTAAATCCATATTTCATCTTTGTATTATTTCCCCACGAAGGGTTATTAAACAGATGCAGGTCTCCAATAGGAAGCAGAAAACTTAGGTAATGTATGATATTGAAATTGTGTATAAAATTAAAGATTTTAGAATCGACCACCTTTTGACTACCTGATATGAATTTTTTACATACCTATAAGACCCTTCTTCACAACTTAAAACAGTTTTCAGAGTAATAATTTGAAAGTTATATTTATAATGATTGTTTTTTATGAATCATTTTAATTTGTGAAGACTGTGGTTTTTGCGACCAATTCGTGATTTAGAAGTACTAAAGCAGAGACAGGAAGCAGTGGCTTTCTTTGTGAATCCTCGAAATATAGAAGTCTTCTCTACTCTGACAGACTGCATGAAAAATGTCAAGAATATTACTGTAAGTATAATACATTTTTCAAAAGTTCAACATCTAGGATCTTTCAAAATTAAATGTCATTATTAGACATATTTTGTTTTGTGTAACCTACTCTACTTGTACCATACTTGACAATGTTTAAAATTATTGCAAATTCATCTCTAAACTGGACATTTACATGGTACTGTCATGCTTTTTCTGATGTCACATCTTCCTACAGTAGAACAGTATGTGTGTTGTATTTTTTCTATCAGGTCTTGGCTGCATTTAAGATCATAATGCTACATAGTGGTTGATAGCGCTACAAAGTGGAACAAATGTGTAGGCTAGCCCTATATAATTTTTGCTATATACACAGTCACAAATTTTCTGCAGAAATTTGTGACAGCGTACTTAAAAGTGCATTCAAGAAATACAATAGCAGTCCATGAAATCCACATAATTTTCTATCCGTGGATTGAACAGAAATTGTGATTCTACAGAATTTTGACCCCGTGGAAAAAGTATGTTTACAGTAAATAGCCTAGCAGGCTAGTCTAGCAGCCACAATCTTGCAGCCCAAGTGTTTGTATAGGGATGGAAGGTTATATTAGCTTCACTGAGTTTAACCTGATTATGCAGCAATATTTGTAATGCAGAGATTAGGCAAACATCATAATGATGTTTGTCATAAACAGCCAAAAACCATGCTCTTGGTGAATATATCAAACCTTTACAATTATGTTTTCTAAAGGTTTTTTTTAGGTCACCTGAGTCACAAATAAACTAACTAAGTATATAGTTATAATGAGTAAGAGTGCCTCTTTCAAAATTGTGAAATTCATGGCCCCAGGGGCAGGGGTTCTGGTGTTAGGGCGGGGCTCTATTGATTATATAGTGAAAATGCATTAATTCATTGAAAATCTTCTTCTCTGCTCCTGGGTATTAAATAAACTAACTAAGTACATAGTTATGATGAGCAAGAGTGCCTCTTCCAAAATTGTGAAATTCATGGCCCCTGGGTCAGGGGTTCTGGTGTTCGGGCGGGGCTCTATTGATTATATAGTGAAAATGCATTAATCCTTTGAAAATCTTCTTCTCTGCTCCTGGGTATCAAATTCAGTAACTAAGTACATAGTTATGATGAGCAAGAGTGCCTCTTTCAAAATTGTGAATTTCATGGCCCCTGGGTAAGGGGTTCTGGTGTTAGGGCGGGGCTCTATTGATTATATAGTGAAAATGCATTAATCCTTTGAAAATCTTCTTCTCTACTCCTGGGTATTATTGAAACACATTAAATACATAGTTATGATAATCAAGGATGCCTCTTTCAAAATTGTGAAATTCGTGGCCCCTGGATCAGGGGTTCTGGTGTTAGGGTGGGGCTCTATTGATTATAAAGTGAAAATGTTTTAATTCTTTAAAAATCTTTTTCTCTGCACCTGGGTATTATTTAAACAAACTAAGTACATTGTTATGATAAGCAAGGATGCCTCTTCCAAAATTGTGAAATTCATGGCCCCGGGGACAGGAGTTCTGGTGCTAGGGCGGGGCTATATAGATCCTATAGTGAAGGTGAATTATTTCTTTGAAAATCTTCTTCTCTGCCCCTGGGTATTGCTTAAACAGGCTAAAGTACATTGTTATGATACACAAGGATGCCTCTTCCAAAATTGTGAATTTTATGACCCCAGGTTTAAGGGTTCTGGTGAGGGGGGGGGGGGGGGGGAGCTTCTATTGATTATAAAGTGAAAAAGCAAAATTTCTTTGAAAATATTCTTTTCTTCTTCTGGTTAAAAAAGAAGCTAAGTGTATAGTTATGATGAGCAAGTGTGCTTCTTCCAGAGTAGTGAATTTCATGACCCCTGGGTCAGATGTGCTGGTGTGAGGGTGGGGCTCTTGATAATTTAGTGAAAATGCATTAATTCTATTAAATAATCCTGTTTGCTCCTTAGTGTTAAGCAGATAAACAAAGTGATGATGAGCAAACATATGGTCCCAGGGTCAGAAGCTCTGGTGTTTTGGGGGTGGGGGGCTCTATTGATAATATAGTGAATCTGTAGTAAAAATGCATTATTTATTTAAAAATCTTCTCCGCACCTGGGCATATCTGAGGCAAACAGAGTAAAAGTTTTTATAAGGAAGGGAATTTTTACCAGATTTTTGAACATCTGGACATTTGGTCAAGTGTTCTGGTCCTGGCCAGGGCTCTATTAGTTTGTATTCTACTGAGAGGAGTTATTCCCCTTTGCCATTTACTTTTGATAATTTATCACTGTAAATAATGTACTTGAAAGGTAAATAGAGAATTATGCAAAAACTTTTATTGTATAATACAAAAAGTACTTTCATAGTTTTAATGATCAGATAGACTTGTAAGTAGTAGATAAATAAAAATGAGACAAAAATAACTTGTCTTATTAAATATTCATCAAAGACCAAGAGATGCCAATGTAAGAGATTTCAACAAAGGATTAAAATAGTACAGAAGCATTGATAATTTGTTAATATACTGTATAGTGATAGTGATAAATGGGGAACAGATTAGAACCTAATTTATGAACTGTTAATGAATATTAAGACCAATTATTTTGTTGATCATGATCATCCTATTTTTCTTGCTTTTGGGCAACAAAGCTTCACCTTTCAGTTCATTTTATACTCTATGCATCCTTGAAATTGTTTTATCATACTCAGGTGACCGTTAAGGCCCTTGGGCCTCTTGTTTTATTTTGTAGCCAGTGTTAAAAAGAATGTACCAAGCTCAGGCCACAGTGATTGACTGGCATGCCTTGTACAAGGTCAGAAATGTGATAATTTTTTCTCAACTTTAATGTGACTAACCTTGAAATTTGGGGGTGATACTATAATGTTACCAGATCTGTCAGGATTTCTTATCCAAAGCAAAAATTGGGTTGCTTTGGTGTTGGATATAGAAAGCTAAAGTTTAATTTAAAAAAGTTATACATGTAGTTGGATTGCATTTGAGTAAAATTTATAAATTGCATGACTCTTATATTATAAATCAAAACAGTTTTGTTGGGGATATGAATTGATGAAATTAGGTTCATCTAAAACTGATTTAGGGTAATACATGTATAAACATTAAAGCATTTGGATGCATCAGTGTAATTTGATTACTCACACAAGCTTTTTTGTAAATAAGCCATTAATATCATACTTGAAGTATAGTTTCTGTTGACAATAAATTAATTAAAATGTACTTACACCTAAGTGCCAGGGACAAACAATTCTGATTCATTACTGTATATTTTGTCACATCCCGTAAGTTCACAATACATTTCAAATCTACAGGCAATGGAAATCAATTCACTGTAAGCATGGTTTATTTCAAGTGTGTTCTCTATAACTGTGTTGTACTGTAAACTTGATATCTCTTCTATTTCTTATAATTTTATTTTCTTGAGACTATAGCATTGAATATACTGTAGATTAAATAATCACGATGGTTTTAATTTCACTATGTTCGGGATTTTTCATTTATCCGCGAAATTAAACCCATCGTGAATGCTATCTTAAGTTTTTAAAAATGTTATAATGCTTATATGAAAATGAAATTAATTTCTTGCCACATGAAATTAAAACCATGGCGATTGGTACTTTTTGAGAGATGGAAAAATTTTAACACTGTGGAATTAAAACGACTTACAGTATTCCTGAGACATGCATCCACAGCTTAACGAACTTAATCAGGGTTTCTCCACATATTTTTTTATGAGAATTTTATTTCAATGTATGAATAGGTAATTAAAAAAAATTAGTCCAGGTAAAATTCCAACTAATGAAATTCTATGTAAACATGTATTAATTTGAAAACCTCATTGATCAATTGTTATTTATTTTCAGACTGTTTATCATGCAATTTATATTGGAGATGTTTGCAGAGCCAGGCCACAGACAATTCATATATTCAAGAGGGTATGTTTAGATATAATTTAAAATTTACTTAAAGGTCTTCAGCATTTCAACTCGGTAAAATTTCTGTCAATGATTTGATCTTTTTTCCTGATTTACAGTACACATTCAATATCATGATTTATGTAGCTACATATTTCATTTTATCATTTTAGATAATTGAAGCTTTTAAAGACGATCTTCACAGAATTGCAAATCTGATCAACAAAATAGTGAGTAGATGAAATTTTTGTCAGATTTTTTGCCGCAGCTTTAGTAAAGCCTTTATCCTTGATGTATTCCATATTTTCATTCTAATCCTCCCGTGATCTTGTACAGATCAATCTTGGCACAAAATAATGGTGGAAATATGCATGTTTATGAAATTGATATTACTGGAAACATTTATTATAGGTGGATTTTGAGGAGAGTAAAGCTGAGGGCAGATTTGTTGTCAAACCCAATGTTGATGCTGAATTAGATGACAGTAAGTACAAGCCTTTAAAGAGATACAGTAAAACCTCATTATCTTGAATCCAGTCGGACCAAGAAAAAACTTTGAGATGTCAGTAATCTGAGGATTCAAGATATTGAGGTTAAAATACATAGAAAAAAAGTGGTAGGCACTTCCAACTCACTTTGAAATATCCATGTTATTTAAGACATCAGTGTTCAAGAGAACAAAGTTCAGCGATATTTTACGTTTAATATTATACATGTACTTTTTCTGATATTCAGCAAGACATCAAACCAGACTCATTTAAGATGTATCCTCTCTGTCATATACATTGAAGCTCTCATATACATGTATATGTGTTTTTCTTCAAAGAGAAAAGGACCTATAATGGTCTGCCAGATTTCATGACAAAATTAGCAGCAGAGGAGCTAGAGAGACTTAGTGATGATATTCAAGCATGCAATGTCATATACCTGCCACAGGTAAGTGATGCCAGGGAAAGCAGTACAATTCTACCCAGTAAATAGTGGTCAGGTAAGCTTACAGAACTAGTACCGGTAGTCACTTTATGACTAGTGATAAAAGTAGAAGAAATCTGTAGTTTTAACCAATAGTAAGACTATTGAATCTTGATTTGTATAAAAACTATAGCTAACAAGCTTACTGCCTTTCCTTCAGGCTTGTGGCTTTGGTTTGTTATGTTTGTACTTTAGCATAACATATTTTCAAAGCAAACCTGTTCTTGTAAAAAGCAACATGCAAATAAATTTTTGGAAACAACTAGATGTGTGATGCTTGTTGGTGTTTTTAGAATAGGTCAGTTCTGGCAGTTGCTTAAATGGTAAACTTGTCTACTATCAGTAAAAGAGATTTAACAGGTGTTTACTCTAATATTTATTCAATTTAGGAACATCTTGTCTAATTGTGGTACACTGCCTTTTATTTTATGCCTTAAAATAGTTTTGCAAATTTTTCTTATATTTTAGCTAGGATATATGCTGGCAATTCAACGGCTTGATTACATGCAGACAGAGGAAGATTTTGAAATGCCTGGTTTGGAATTTGTGGTAAGTACGTTTACTAATATGCATTGTAAGAAAATCGTTAATAGCTATCATATTTGTATTTTAACACATTAAAACAAGTGAATATTTTATATTTAATTATATTTCATCAAACAGTTTTTGTCCAACAATGTGTTGCACTACAAAAGTGCACGTACAAGAGGTATTTCCTGAATTGTTTGTAAATTTATTGTTTCATGTTCTGTTGTACAGCCGTTATGACTTTTCAACTTATGCATTGCAAGTTAATGAACAAATTGTTACACATTTCCTGGTGTTCTTTCACTTTTTTTCTGTCTTTTCAGCTCTGGTCAGGGACCAGAAAAATGTGCAGTGGCAAGATGTCAGTCATCTGTCTTTGTGTTTGTAAACAATTCTTTAAAATGCTACCCCTCCTTCAGTTATGGTTCAATCTCAATTATGTACCCAAGTGGATTACATCAAAACACTTAATTCTTCTGACTAGATTTTTGATCTTAGTGTTTCCATGCTTGCTAAACATAACAATATTATAAAAATTCTGTGATATATTCTTTCAAAATGCAAGTCCTCCAGCTGTTGTGGTTTGATTTCAATAAATATGCATTTCAACTAATCAAGACACACAATCCTCTTAATCTTTGGGTTTTTATGCCCCTGTAATCTAAGATTCAGGAGAATATAGTTTTTGGTCTGTCTGTCCATCTGTCTGTTTGTTAATCTGTTCGTCTGTTAATGTTTGTCTTTTTGTCCTCAGATACTTTAACCTTGCCCTTAACTTCTGAATGGTTTATGCTAGGGCTTTTGTATTTCTTATATGTATTTCTTAAGACCTTTCTTTGGGTAGCAACATATTTGACCTTGACCTAGGAGTTTAACCTACTTAACTTTTGCAAGACTACCAAACTTTAACCTTGGCCATAACTTGAACAGTTGGTGGTAGGGCTTTTATATTTCACGTGTGTATTTCTTGTGAAAAGACCTTTCTTTTGGTACCATTATTTTTTACCTCATGACGTTGACCTTTGAGTTTGACATATTTGAAAAAACTTTAACTTTGCCTTTAATTTTTGAATGATTGGTGCTAGGGCTTGGAGTATGACCTATTTTTGAAAAAAAATTTAACCTTGGCCATATTTTCTGAATGGTTGGTGCTAAGGCTTTCATAGTTCATATGCATTTCCTTGTGACAAGACTTTTCTTTAGATAACAACTTTTTGAACTCTTGACCTTGGGGTTTGACCTACATTTAAACCTTGGCTTTGGGTTGCCATACGGGGGCATCAGTGTTTCACAACACTTCTTGTCTTATTTCAAAGAATGTTTTGCAATGCATTAAAGATAGAATAATCTTTTAATTCCTTTAAAATGGTGCTCTTCCTGCATGTTTGATATGATTTTAATAAAACATGGCACACAAGTATGCTTCATCAAGATATCAGTAACATTGCAGAGGTTACAAACAGTAGAATAATTTGTAAATTCTTTCAAAATTTTTACTCTCCTACAGTTTTGTTTCGATTTCCATAAAACTTGCTACAAATTTAGAAACATTATAGTACATTATTTTACATGAGTAGTCAACCATAAAAACAGTGTCTAGTAATCAGTAGTCAAACATGATCTAGCTTTTGTATGATCATAAGTATAAATCAGAGAGCTACAGTCTCATTAGAAATATCTGGTTATTATTCAGTTTGAAAACTCTGAAAAATAACTGTATTAGACTTAACTGCAATGTATTAAGATTAATGGCTTTACTTTTCTGGGAAAAACATTAAAATTTGACACTTTTCGCATAATTTCAGAGTTTCTGAGATTACGGTAGAATAAAAAAAAAGTTAACAAAGTTATTGCATTTTCTTTTGCAGAGTTGGACGTAGTGTTGGGTGATACACAGTGTGAAATAACAGGTGTGGTTTCTATAAAATCCTCAATAAGTTTTAGTTTTACTGTATGAGAGAAATGAAACTACTATAGAAATGTTAGCTATTCAAATGTATGATTCTTATTTTAGACCAAGAAACAGCCATCATGCATAAACTACAGAATGCCATCCTAGAGAGTTATAGAACTCTGATAGAAGTCCAGGATTTGTCAGCAGAGCTAGATTGGTAAGTTGTAAAACAGAGGAAATACAATATGAAATCTAGGACTGTCTGTTACCTAAAGGAGGTCATGGAAAGAGTTTTACCATCTCTAGATCTGCTTCTAAACCATTGATCAGTTACATCTTTAGCCAACAAGCAGAAAAATATCACATGTATTCATGTATTATATAGTATCAATTTTGATGTCCATGGACCCCCCCCCCCCCCCCCCAGCCCATTTACAAAAAAGTTGGAACTTTTTGAGCATGCATCCATTGTGCATAAATTTGTAACCTCCGATGATATCAATATCTTTTCTGACTTGCCTGAGAAATTGTTACACTGACATGATATCTCTCACCTATATTCAATAAACATGGACTTCAACTGGATATAACTGGACAGAGAAAAATTATGACTGTACCAGGAATCAAACCCAGGACCACTGTATTACTAGTCAGATGCTCTAACCACAGCCATTTAGGCCAATATCTATAGTTCATGTATCCCAAACCACTAAATTCCTCTCTCCTTGAATTGTCTTCACCATCAAAGACATGCATACAACCAAGATTCTTTTGCCCTTGGCAGGATTTACACCTGCAAGTTCAGGAGTGGTCAGTGGCACCAAATGTAACAGGGAAGGGAAAAAAAATTAATGGAAGGCCCATGAATCGAACCCAGGACCCCGGATTACTATCCAGGTGATGTAACTACTGAGCTACCCAGGCCAACACAAACCACTGGATCTCTAATCTTATGTACACTTTACCAAACATAGCAGGAAAGTAGAAGATTTATGACTGGACAGGGAATTGAACCTGGGACCCCTGCATTACTAGTCAGGTGCTCCAATCACTGAGCTATCCAAGTGGTTCACACAACCCAAACCACTACTTAGGTTGTGGGAAAGCTTGAGCGAGTGAACATACTGAAAACATGTTCATTGATTTTACATTCTTCCGATATTAACCATCTCCAAAAAAGTTTACACAAAACTTAATGGTTAGTATCTGCTCCTCAAAAATAATTACCCATAACATAGAATTCAAATGGGAAATGATATACAGATGTTTATTGATTTATAGTACCAGCTGGTTTGTAATTAAAATTTCTATGTATCTCTGAATATTCAAAATAATATACTTTTTGTTTCCATAAGCATACTGTCACTGGCAGCATCAGCCAAAGAATTCAGCTATGTCAGACCAACTGTTGTTAATGAGGACATCATCAACATAAAAGGAGGAAGGTATTATCACTATAGCTATGTTTTTGTTTCACTTTTACTTTATGATGTGCAAAGTTTATGATTAAGGTGGACCTCACACATTTAATCAAAACATATTTCTCCATTAGACACCCTATTCAAGAAGTTTGCTGCTGTCCCTTTGTTCCCAATGATACCCTCAGTAATGAAGCCTATGGAAAGATGAAAGTTCTTACAGGTCCCAATGCTTCAGGAAAGAGTGTTTACCTAAAACAGGTGTTGTGTCCTTGAATATTAAAAAAACATATCTGTATTTTCCCTTTTTAATTAAATGCCAAAAAAAAAAAAAAAAAAAAAATTAGGAAAAAAGTTTTATGATATCAATTTACTGTATAATGGGTTATTTTGTAACTGGCAAATTTAGTGATTTTATCCTGAAAATAGGCATCTATGATAAGTGAAATTAATTATTTGCAATATGTTAAAAAATAACACTGTGATTGTATTGTTTCAGCAATATTTGTGATTGAATTATTGAAACTTTTATTTTTAGCTTTGCAAAATGGACTATTGCCAATAATGTCAAATTAGATAGGTGCTAAAAATTCTCATTATACAATATTTCAGCCTTAAATATTGCTAACAAACTGCATATACCTATAGTCTCTATTTAAATTAAATATATAAAAAAAAAAGATGAAATTTATAAAAACCGTTTTATAATTGGATGTATTTTAGGTAGCCCTGATAGTTTACATGGCTCACATTGGCAGCTTTGTACCTGCAGAGTCTGCAGTGATTGGTTGTGTGGACAGAATTTTTACTAGGATAAGAACAATGGACAGTGTTTCAGTAGGCCTGTCCACCTTCATGATAGATGTGAACCAGGTTAGTTTTTTTTTTTTTTTTAAGCAATATTAACATTTTAAAATTCATTGTTGGAGATCATAGAATTTCAATTTACTGAAGGTAAATTATGATTTAGCTGAAAGATATTTGTTTGAAGATCAAATTTTAGCTGAGAAAACCCAGTCAAGATCAATGTTTGATTTTCTCTCCTTTTCTACTCTGAAATAGTGGATTCACTTTTACTTTATAAATTAGATAATAAGTTTGCATTTCAGATGTCTGAGGCACTGAGGGATGCCACGGAGAGGTCTCTAGTGGTGGTGGATGAGTTTGGCAAAGGGACAGAACTGGTATGTGTCATAAAATACATGTTATACTGCTATATTATCCAACTTCAAATAAATCAAAAGAAAGGGCAGTTTTCAGATTAATTGAGACAATTTTGATAACTTTATTTTAAATTTTGTAAAAGGTGGATGGTATGGCCCTTCTCTGTGCTTGTCTGACATTCTGGATAGATAAAGGAAAGTCCTGTCCTCATGTTTTTGTCTCCACTCATTTTCACAGCATCATTCATCAACAGCTGTTACCAGAGTCACAAATGGTTAAGTTCATGGTAAATGTCAGCATTTTAACATACTGAAAACAGGTGCTGAGTTAACCATTAGTAAAAAAAGGAGTCTATATTTACAACCACTATTTCTACTACTTGACGTAATCATATTGCACTAAAAAAAAAATGTTTTGTAGACCATGGACAGCTTGACTGAGGAGAGTGAATTACTTTCTATTTTTGTAGACCATGGACAGCCTGACAGAGGAGGGTGAATTACTTTTCCTGTATCAGCTTGTAGAGGGACATGCTAGGTCCAGCTATGCCAGTCATGTTGCTCTGCAGGCGGGACTTCCAGAAGAAATTGTTCAGAGAGGGGTGAAGGTAATCAATTTAAGATATAAATTTACAAATTCAAAGATATATTGATATTATTACATGCTTCAAAATGAATATGATTATGAAATAAATATCATTTCAGGTTTCTGAACTGCTGAGACGAAATAGACCAGTGTATGCTATTGACATGGTTGATTCAGAAACTCATTTCAAAAGGTTTGGGTTTGTCTTATTTAAACACAGCTCTTGGAAAGTTTTAATTTTATATATCAGTGCATAGTACTTCAATCTAATTAATCTAAAAAGTTTCAATTATGAAATAATTGTTCTTTGTAAAGATGTGCCTTGTATCAGGATTTCTATGTTAAGGACACTCAATACAGAAAGATTTTTAAGATCAGATGCATAAAATAGATGAACAATATGTTCATGTATATTTTGTTAATTCTGAATAAAACCAAGCCATTGTAAGTGAGAAAGATTGTTTTAGCAGTCACTACATTACTATTAACTGATGTAGAAGTGTACATGTTCATAATTACAGAATATAAATGATAAATATTACCTGAGATCAAATTTGGATATACTGAATTTTTTTGTACCTTTCCAATGAGAATGAATGTTGCTGATTAGAGACCAGGACTACATTAGGAAAAAAATTGTCTGAAAAATGTCAGGTTTTTCAAAATTTTTCATCTAACCTGAAATCTGACATAATATCTAAGATTCCTTTTTTTTCAGAAGTGAAATTATAGTCAAAAAGTTCTTAGACTTGGATCTAGAAACAGATGATTTAGAAAGCTTCCTTAGAGATTTTGTTCTCCCCACCAGTGAAGGCAAGCTGTGACACTTTCAATTCAGTGCAGAGACCAGTTTTCGTAAGAAAACTAACATGCAGCAGACAGAATGACAATTATGGCAGATTGGTAGATAAAAAGTGACGTTTATATAATTTATTTCTATACTTATCAAGTTTTCCAAAATAAAAACAGTTACAGGTATTCAGGTTCATTCTTCATCAAAATTATAAAATTTGTGTAATAGTACATGTACTTTCTTTACATAGTAGGTCAACTTAAACAAGTAGTTATAACATGTAATAAAGTTTGGCTTGCAATAGTATATCTTTGGACAAGGTGCTTTGATTATTTAGCTGATACACCAGAAGCAGTAAAGAACTAAATACAGTAATGGCAAAGATCTGCTCTATGATGATCAACCACTATTAAAATTTAGTGCCTCCATTTGAATAACCATGAAGTTCACTTCTTCGTGATTTATTCGTAGAAATGAATGTTTGAGAAAGTATTTGGCTTTTTTCTTCTGTGTGGACATTTGGACAGTTTGAATAACTTTTGATATTCTTGTACCCTCTATGACAAGCCATTAATGAAGAAAATGTAAAGATGACAAACAGATCATGGTCGGAAGTCCATTTAAACAAAATAAATTATGAGTAGAGCCAACATGGACCTCAGAAATCGGAGGGGGTATCATGTGCCATGGAGGAGTCAGCATCCCCTGTGGACCGGTCACACCTGCCATGTGCTCCTCATCATGACTGGGTAAACAAAAAAATCTGTAGACAATTCAGTGTGAAAATAATGGCCTAACAATTTGTATGAAAAATGTCAGTCAACATTCGACCTAAAGACAGGTTGTACTTGCAAACCAAGTCATTGTATTGTGAAATGTTGACTTTATGAGAGTGTTCATATCCCTGAACCATCAACTTATTTGTATATAGCCTGTCTTGTTTTAGAAATTGTTGGGATGTATACATGCTCTTGCGTACAAATCAACTGGGAGACATAAATTTCATATACAGGTGACAGTGGTAAAATGCTATATAAATAAGGGAAGATGACGATAGAAAAGTGAAGGTCATCGCGTTTATCTTAAGGTTAGTTGTTAATTTGCCATCAATGCCTTTCTGTAGTAAAACGTCCTAATATGAAGCAGATGAGTCGGAATCTGTGGTATCTTATTTTGAGTTCAATGAGATCACAGAAACATGGTGTTATTTTTCTTTTAATAAAATAAGAAATATTTAAGTAGGGGTATGTTTATTTTTAAGAAAAATACATAATGCCATGTGCCTGTGAATGAGATATACAGAATCAACGCCAGGCGCGGATTCGGGAATTGAAGTAGGGAGGGGGCGCAAAAAGTAGGCAGGGGGTCTGGGGGGCCGCCTTGAGGCCCCCAGTGGATCCAGGGCAAAGCCCTGGTGGGGGCCCAGGGGGCGAAGCTCCTGGATTATAGAGATTTTGTAGGGTAAAAATGAAGTCTACCGAGTAGACTTACATTTTCTCGACGAAACTATGATTTACACTAACGTTGACAATTTTAGGGGGCGCCGGGTGCGCACCCCTTAAATCCGCCACTTAACGTAAGAATGAAATTGAATATTGCTAAATCATAAAACGTCTTCGATATATCTGAATGTCGAGCTGAAGGCAACAGCAAGAGAGTTCTTTTCATGTAGATGTGTTTCAATAAATTCAACTTAATAAGAATACAAGAACAGGTAAAGCGATACATGTTCTCTACTATCTCCAACAAATTTAGATATTGTGCTTAGATTGACACAGTCTGATTACCCCCCCCCCCCCCTTCTACGACGATAGGAGAAGGGGTGGGGCTGGTTTTAATCAGACCGAGATTGACAGAGACGGGTAATTGTTAGCTATAAGCCTATATACTACACATTTTCCTACCAATACATGTATACGCGTGTATTATACAATAAAGTTGCAAAAAAGTAAAATAAAGCAATAAAAAGGAATCCATGGAACAATATAATGTCTTCAATTTTCAGAAAAAAGGGGCATGGTTCAACCAGACATACGGAGCGCCAAATAATCATAAACTCATGATAAAATAATATTAAAGATTTATTTAAATATTGGAGGATATCATCAATTCATTTGATTCATTTTAATATCAAATTATCAAGATCGATTAATTCTAAAGAAAATAATAAATTCCACACGCAAAATTGAAGACGTATGTCTGGCAGCAAATAACGAATCATATCATTACGAATGAATGCCATTATTGTCATCTTGAGGAATTCCTAGTGTCGAAAAGGTGTATTTTGTTTACTGTTCATCTGTTAAAAGAAAATTTATCCACTACTGAAGTTGTTTTTCCTGCAATTAATTTCTAGGTACGTACAATGACAAACTTTCTCACAAAATATCGGGGGGGGGGGGGGGGGTCTTGATTACAGTACTCCAAAGTTTTGTGTCAATCTGAGGTCTGGTTTGAATTTTAGACAAAGTTGTGCTGTGAACAAAAAAAAAAGTGGAGGGGGTGGGTAGGTTGAAAGTAATTAGATAGATATATAATTAGGAAGAGTCCTTGTACCCTGACGGTTATAACTTATAGGTCAGCTAGGTAACATCCTATAATTGCCTTCAGCATTTCTTTACAATGACCTTTGAACTTGATCCAATTTAACCAGTGTTAAAGGTCAAATATCAAAGGTTCCATCGCAGGTGCACCCATGCTTTTAGAAGTTGTAAAACCAAAGAACTTAGGATCCACAAAACTTTATTATTTTGCACTATTTTGGGGGGAATTATAGGTGGTTAGTATACCTTAGACTTACCAGTGTCGAAATCGGACTCGATCATGTAGACCAGCGTAACTGAATTTTTGCGAGCGATTATTCCACTGCATTGTTGAGCTTAATTGATGCACGCATCTTAAATAAATATTGAATATAGATGCACGGATCTCATCAATTTTCAGTTAGTGCGCATATAATCAATTCTTGCTCCCGTTAATTCCATTGATCAAATAATTTTTTCATAGCTCTGCAGCCCTGTAGTGTGATCCTACCCTATTAATACAGCTTGAAAACACATGTCGATTAAACTTTAACCAGACACACAAATAACATTGAAATAATTTAAATAAAGGATGACTGCACTTTAGGACATGCAAAATTTGCGACAAAATAAACTTTCAAAACAAGCATTTTTCTTTTCATTGCAAGAATGGTCAACATCCAATCCACAACTTTATGTAATTACGTTTAATAAAAGTGTGTATTTACGAAGTTGAATCTGTTTTCAAAGGAAGGAGTCATCACAATTTCTTGTATCTCCGTTCGATAATGAGGACGCCCACTTTTTTACTGACTTTATACATGGTCAGGGCATGTTTGTCTATTGTTCTACGTTTAACAGTAGTTGTATATTTGCATAAATAATGATGTGACAAAAGGAGATTAATAGACAAACATGCGCTCGTGGTTTAAAAGAGAAAAAAAACTGCTTCTTCTTACATTCGCTCTCTGTGTTGTACCCAAGGCTTGTGACTGTTGAATATTATAATTCACCACGTGATTTCTTACCTCTGGTTACTTTGTGAATACTAAATTCCGTCACGTGACTTGTAAGGTAGCATGTTTTGTGTTAACTAGGGCATTGTGTTCGAACACACTACATCGCTGTAAGTCATCTGGCATTGATATAAAATCTGCTTTTATTACATTGACGTCTTCATATTGTTAATTTCGTTTTGAAACCTTTGTCAGAAGTGTATTTGTGCCATACACAATGGAGAGGGAGATTGGAAGAGTGATCACGTTCTTTTTTTCAAACATGTTATTGTTATTTATCAAGTCTAATTATTTTAGACCCATTCTTACAATGTTAACTCCACCTCTCGTGCATATCTAATGTTCAATCAAGGGCAGGTAAGTGTAAATTCACTATATTTGGAAGGCAGTAAGGACAAAAACATTGAATCATTTTATTCTGTCACAGTCTAAAATAATTTTAAGATTTAAATTTGGTTCCAAATTGACAGGATTCTTTCATAAACATACAAAAGTGAAATAAGGTTTAGATATAAAAGCAATAGAAGCAACCGAAAAAGACCCCAAAACAGGCGTTAAGTGCAGCCATCCTTTATTTTCTTTCTTTCTTGTTACATTAATTAACACTAAAATATTACCTTTTGTTAATCCAACCATATGCCTCTATGCTTGTTTTTCCTTTCTGGCTTCCAATTATTTAGATTTCATCTGTAAATTAATTCATTATATTAATACTGTCTAAATTGAAATGTTGTTTTCTAAATTCAACATGCATGTAGAACTATTTTCTTGTAATATATTAATCGTTTCAACTGTGTATTGACTGTACTACCCATAAGGATCTGCTATTTACAAAATTAACAATTAATAAGAAGACAGGTTAGGCTAATACATTTTTAAACTTGTTTCCTAATCCTGATTGATCTAACTTCCTCCACTACATATGTCTCTACCTTTATGCTTGCAATTTTCAAATAAACTAATTTCTGGGGCTATCAGCAAAATCAAATGGGTGTATCAGGTCTGCAATCTGAAGATTTACTGGATGAAAGGGGGGGGGGTGCTCAGTTGGATGGGGTGGGGATGGGGATAGTTGAATCCACACTATAAAAAGTTATCACTCTTGGAAGCGAAGCCTTAATTCTTTTGGGAAAATCCATAGAATCATCACAACCTATTTATTTCGACGTAGTCCCATCTATTCTGCACACTTCTCACACCTCCATTTAGTGAAAATGTGGGCCCAACGTCAAACTAATTGCAACACAAATTATTTTGTCATAAATGAAATCTAACATGTACAAAATATTTGCAGAAAAAAATCTAAGAAAATTTAATTAGCGGAAAGCATAATTTTGACACAATTTTATTAAAGTCTAATACTGGGAATTACTATGTATAGAAAAGGGGCATAACTATGTTAATTCATCCAATGTTTTACTGAAATAATCAAAAGAAAAATCCTTTTTTTTTTCTCGGAAGTGTAATCTGATTTAAACTTCTGATACAGTTTAATAGATCATTATTTCACATAGATAATAATACAAGTTTGAAATGAATATTTTGAATTTTATTTCATACTCTTTTGTTAATTTTTAAATATAATAGTATTTTTTGATTGATACATTTTGTGAATACAGAGTTTAAAAAAGAATAAAATTAAACAAATTTCCTTTATATTAAGATTTAGTTTGAATGGATCATTTCATTTGGTACATACATACTAAATATAATTTTTAAAAAACATATCCAAAAAGGTTTAGAGGCTAAATTCGACAATGGAATACCATTTGCTATCAGTTTTAAATAGATAAAACTGTACACGTTGCATATATAATAGCCTTTGTAGCTTTCTAGTTTGTAACTAATAAATTTGCCCTCAGTCGGTAGAGCGCTCGCTCCATGACCGGAAGGTCGTGTGTTCGAATCATGGCCGCGACTCACCTAAGTCGATATAAAAAGAAAAGAAGGTTGCAACTGTTCCTTCGCCAAGCGCTCGACACTTTGAAGTGAAAGTTGCGGGTCATTCGGATGAAAACTTAAAAACCGAGGCCCCGTGTCACGGTAGGCGTTGGCACGATAAGGAACCCTCACTGCTCAATGGCCCTGGGTGCTGAGTAAAGGTCTAAATTTGAAGCCCTTCACCTGTATATGGTGACTTCTCTATAAAAATTCTCGAACGGGACGTAAAACAACAATCAATAACCTAGCCATTTGAAAGGGGAAAAAATCTTTGCAACTTGTATATTAATTGCCGCAGTATGGAGCTACACAGACCATTAAAAGGAAAAAAAACCATAACGGTGAATTTATCAGAAAATGCCCAAATGTTTGTTAGCACGAAGGAGAACTGTATTGAACTTCCCCGTTTGACCTTTTGGTTGGCCCTAAAAAGGAACACAACTTTTGTGAAGTATTTTAGGTCTGAACTTCTTAAATATAACTTGAAAAAAAAAACACTTAAAAATACGGAGAAAAAATGGGAAAACACATACCATCCCACCCCGAAAGAGATAATATTAAAACGAAGGAATTGAAAGTTATTAAAATATGAAATTCTAATGATGAAAGCAATTTTGAATTTCGCGCCAAAATTATGTTAACTATTCACTGCGGACCTAGGATTCCCAAGTTCGAGGTCGGCCGAGAAAATGGGACGATAGTGAAAATAGTGTTGATAATATGAACCCGAAAACTATATGAATGCCTTTTGGATATGGGTAGGAAAAAACGTGTAGTTGGTAAAATAATATGGGGACCTCGGAAAGGCCATATTAAGGAAAATGGAATGGTAAGTCGATTCTTAGATCGAGGAATCGAAAGTGATAAATATTTTGAAGGTGTCGCGAAGTATGTCGTCACAAGACATACGAGAAAGAAAAGAATCCACCATCATGAAAATTTTACATTTATATAGTGTTGACTTCACCGATATATTTGAAATGTTTTGATACACTACAATGAACTGACTTGTTTGTAATTTGTTTCGTAAGAAAGACTGTGATGACAATCACATGGTGCCGAATTTCCTCAACTACTTTTATATGTTAGATATCATGTATCTTCAATAAATGACAATAATCCTAATATAATCTAACATAACATTTATTAATGATCATCATTCATGGGAGCGTGGAAAATGAGAGAAATGTATGATGTGAACAATAAGCATATTTGTATTTCTTCATTTAAATTCAAAATAGGTACCTTTTCCCCTAATAAATGGTGTTATTTTCCCATTAGTCATTATAGTAATGGTAAAATTGATAGTAAAACACCAGAAAACCTAAATGTAATTAGTTTGTATGTAAATTTCACAATTTTGCCAGAAATTTAATTGATTTTCCCATTTTTAATTTGATAGAAAGTTTTATCGTTAAAATGATAAATGTCCTATGGACACGGTTTAACGATAGAATTCTTTCTGTGTAATGGCAATGTAGCAAAGAAAACACAGGAGATAACTCTAACTCAGTGCATTTACTATGAAAAATATTCAGAGAGTTCCAAATGTCAACATGGTGTGTAAATTTAAAACGAGTAAAGAACGTTGAGAAAAAGTGTTGAATTCTTTCATTATATGGATTAAATTTTCGGGTGAAAGGTATTCACACTCTCAAAAAGGTTTGTTATTATTAATTTGATAATTATTTTCAATGCAACTTTATTTTCTCCAGAATAGTTTCCGATTCTGTAATTTTCTGCTACATTGCAGATATATGGGAAGCATTCTAACTGTGTTTAGGGCCTGTTCCAAGACATAGATTATTCTAACTAATTTTTAATGGTCCTGGCCCCTGTTCCAAAAAGTGGTGTGAAAGCTCTGAATTAATCGGGCCAAAAAAACATGTACAGTAACTATGTTTGTTTCAGGTTGCATAAGATTTAAAATAAAAAGGGTGGACAGGTATCTAGGCTTTTTTTTAAATTTTAAAACCCATTAATTTAAACCAAAATGTACATGACAACATGTGCCCATTTGTTTATACCTTCAATAAGAAATTACTTCCTACAACAGATGGAAAAAAAATTTGACAGAGCTAATGACTTATGTGAAGTAGTTGTCATCAGGTTTATGTACTCTGATGTTTGCATTTGCCTAATTTTATCGCAAGCACAACAGCAGCCAGAAGATTGGCTCTAGTTGTTATTTATCACACTGATGTTCTTCATACCAAGCACTGTTTCAGGGTTTGTACACACCATTAAAAGTGCTTGAATCTTGACCCAGTCATTGAAAAGTGCTTGAAAATGTTTAAAAAACATTATACAGTTGTTGGCTGGGGTTGAAGGCACTGTTGATCTGTTGGACCGGTGTGCAAACTGTTGCAGAAGGCTGCGGGCAACATTTTGCACACCAGTCTGTCAGATCAACTGTTGCAAGAGACCCCTGTGAACAACTGTTTTGTTATACCAATATAATAAAAACTTAAAATCAATCTTGTATATAGTATTAATTCAATTTTTTTTTTATTTGTACCATTGGCTAGTGGTGTAGGTAGGCAAAAACAAAGTGAATGCTTTTATGACTACAGGAGGTCTGGGCAGCATTAACCTCCTTTCACCAGGTCCAGGGAGAGATCCCATGGAAATTTCGCAGAAATTGACAATATTACATTTAGAATGTGCAGTGTGCATGAAGATAATACAGAACAAATTATCTTTGAATTTATTGAATTATGTCCTTTTATCAAATATACTGTTATTCATTCTGTATTTATTTATTATTTAAAAGAAATAATGTGGATGCTTTGGCATACAAGCATACATAGTAGCTCCGCTACTGATCGGAGGAAAGAAAACGTCACTGACATTTGTGATTTACTTTAACATTGCATTTTAATGTAATTGATTTTTTGAATGATTTCCTTTGGTTATCAAATATATGAAAACTGTACATTTTTAAACGTGCATATACATGTATCTACATAGGCCTTATATCTTTCTCAAGCTGCACAGTAGAATTTTTGCACATTTCATTCAACTTACCACGTGATTTTTTTGCAGAAAAGAAATGGATAGACTGGCACAAGTCAGTAAACAATCACTGAGAATGTTTTATTGCATTTTCACAAATATTGTAATGTTTCTGTTGTTTCTGCTTGCTTAAATGCCTTTTGCAAGGTGTTCATCACTTATTTGTTTTTAAAACCAAATGACGTAAGTGATAACCCGTTTTAGTGCCATATGACTTCATCAGTCAATAGTCTTAACAATTTTAACAGTTCCAGTCCAATAGTTGCCGGAACAGTCAAAATACTGGACTTTTTTTCCGTATAGAGTTACATAGGTACTGTTATATAGGGGTATAACAATATGTCTTGTTCATTGCTTTAAACTAAACAGCAGAGTGCTTTGATTGAGTGGCAATCTGAATTGTATACATTTTGTACTGTTGTTATTATAGGATCCAGTTGCTGGACAGGCCAGTGTGTACCATGCCCTAGTTGTAATCTTTTTAGAGTTCTTTGCCTGGGGATTGCTGACTTCTCCAATTATAGAAGTAAGTGGACTTTCATGGTGACATTGCATAATCTGTATACCAAAATGGTAAAATACATGTATTTTTATTGAGAATAGAATGCTGTTATGGGTATGAGGCTGCAATTGGAGTAAAGTTAATTATTAATTACAAGTGTCTGAAAGAAAATTTATTCAAGGAAGTATTTTAATTCACTTTATAATTTTGGTCAAATAGCAAGATTTTTGATGCTTTTCTGGTAAGAAGACATTCTCCAGCTGTTGCAGGTCATTGTATTTATTCATTTTTTTACACAGCTTGTATAAATATCCCACGGAAAAGAGACACAGTATCTCAGTTTAGTACATGTAGTACAAATATATACATGACTTGTTGGGGGATCTTTTTTCTTCATCTCTTGTAGTCTTGATATGTATCAGTTTTTATGAAGTGTTCTGTTATTTCGTATGATATATGTAGAACTTGAAGTGATACATGTATACACAATGAACAGATGGTCACTTTATATCTAGTTCATATCAATTAAAGTAAGTTAATAGTAAAATGTATAATAAAAACATTTATGTAATCTGAAGGTCTATACAATGATCAAATTGTAATTTTATATTTTTTTCAACTTCCTGTCCTCAATTTTTTTTACAGTGAAGTTTGAGTGTCCTCTTTTTTGTTTCTACAGGTATTAAATAACACTTTTGCTAATCACACTTTCCTTATGAATGGGTTGATACAAGGAGTTAAGGTAAGAATTACTAAGTATTTAATAATTTAGGTATAAATGATAAATTTATAGAAATTTCTTGAAGCAAAAAAAAGTTAGTAGACCATCAAATAAAGAAAGATGCATTTATTTCATTGTCAATTCATTTTTAACCAAGGAAACAAAGAGACTTGTTTTGAAATACAAATTCAGTGAGAGTTCATTACTTTTTCTTGTCTTTGTGTGTGTGTAGGGTTTGCTGTCCTTTCTCAGTGCTCCATTGGTGGGGGCGTTGTCTGACACACTCGGAAGGAAGCCATTTCTTCTTATAACTGTCTCCTTTACATGTGCACCAATACCTCTGATGAAAATCAGTCCTATGTATGTGTTCTCAGATCAATTAGTGCATTTATTAAGGTTTTTTTATAGACTGGGAAAGATATGAATGTTAAAGATATTTAATTAAAAAGAAAGAGACTGTATAAGTATATAATATTTATCATGCAAACTATTTTGAGTTCTGTGATTATATTTTACAAGTTGATAACTGCATTTGCTAGATAATTAATTTCTCTGAATGGAATTAGAATATTAAATCTTAGTTACTGAACTTTGCAGTAATGGGGCATTCTTTCCTATTGCAGGTGGTATTTTGCCATGCTTTCTATATCTGGTATATTTGCTGTGACATTTAGTGTTGTATTTGCATATGTGGCTGACATTACCACAGAGGAGGATCGTGGTCAGGCCTATGGTTTGGTAAGTAATTATACATATATTTTTAGTATGACTGTTGGAATTAAAGTCCCTGCACCAGAAACTGCCTACAGCTTGAATGCAAAGTGATCTAAAAGGAATGTTTAAATTTCAAGTTTTATTAATATATCTCCATAGTTGTATTAAATATCACCTATGAAGAGGGAAATATGAATTTCTTTGAACTTTGTTGTTTAAAAATGGCACATTTAGAGAGAGAGAAAAAAATATGTACTTAAATTTTTGCAGTAATTGTATACTTTTACCTGTATTCTTACTATATTTCAGGTGTCAGCTACATTTGCAGCCAGTTTAGTTACTAGTCCAGCATTAGGTGCTTATCTAGGAAAAGTTTATAGTGACAATTTTGTGATATGGCTGGCAACAGCTGTAGCAGTTTTAGATATTCTATTCATATTAGTGGCAGTACCGGAATCACTGCCGGATAAACTACGCCCAGCTAACTGGGGATCACAGATTTCCTGGGAGAAAGCAGACCCATTAGGTGTAAGTTCATTTTCAGAAAAACAATATATACATGTTCTTAGAAATATTAGGATCATCCTCAGAAAATTAATATCAGAAATAACCTATAAGTGGGTCTTTAATAATTTGCAAGTATTTTCTCTAAATGGAAGAAAAACAAACTGAAGCAAAAAATAAAACATCAGTTCTTAGTAAGAGATAAAACGATACAGAGGATACCTGTATGTATAGTACATGTATATGTATTATGAAAAATTTTGTGTAGATCTGACATAATAATCCTGGAACACTACTTGCTGTTCAATACATGTAAGTCATGCTTTGTTCACCTGTCTGATAACTGTCAAAAAAGGTGAACATGGCAGTATGACATGCATGTACACCTACCTTTGTGAGCAGATGTCAGGTCCTTGTCAACAGCAGATCATTTTATAGAAGCACATGTACGTAGGCATCTGAGCCTGCTCCAAAATATACATGTACATACAATGTAATTTACTGGTTTATATTTACGGTAGTCTTTTTTCTTATTTCAGGCATTAAAGAAAATAGGTCATGACAAGTTAATATTATTGCTCTGTGTAGCTGTGTTTCTGTCCTATCTTCCCGAGGCTGGGGAATATTCATGTTTCTTTGTTTACCTGAGATTAGTAAGTATAGCTATAACACATTACAGTTGAACTTTGGTACATGTATCTCGAACACTGATATCTCGAATACCATGGATATGTCGATGTGATTTTGAAGTTATTTCTTAAGTATTTTACTCTTGATATCTTGAATCCTCGGATATCTCGAAGTATTTTCTCGGTCCCATCAAGTTCGAGATAACAAGGTTTGACTGTAACTCATCCATATTTTATGTTTTTCTTTAAAAAATATGTGAAAGTAAATGAACAGATACAGTGAAAATTAAAATTTATTAAACTGAAGAAGAATTTAAAAAAAGGAGAATAAACGGTATGTTATTTTTTCCTAGGTTATGATGTTCTCAGCTCAAGAAGTTGCTTCATATATAGCTATGGTTGGAGTCTTGTCTGTTGTTGCTCAAGTAAGGTTTTCGTGTTTTTACTTAATTAATGAATATGTATTATTTTTACCTTTACCTGGTATATTGTATCACCTACCCAAATAATTTGTAGTATTTGTAATACATATTGTAAGATATTGGAAACCTTTGAGAAAAAATGTAATTTTGTTGGACTTCTGAACTTTCAAAGTTTCTCTGAACTTCACTTTTTAAAAAAGTCAACTGTACTGTCAATTGTCAATTGTTCAGAAAATTTTGCATTGAAAAAAAAAAGAGTTTTGATCCTTTCATACAAGTGTATATTGTCATTCTCAGTGCAGAAGCCATGTCTGAAAAATAATATTAGTAATTCATCTTTTTTCCCGACTTTCAGACACTCATTTTAGCATTGTTGATGAAATATGTAGGACATAAAGGAGCCATTATGTTTGGTCTTGTATTTGAAATCGTACAGCTGGCTTGTTTTGGATTTGGATCTCAAACATGGTAGGTATGAAGGGATCAATAAGGAAATAGAACAGTGTTAAAAAGTATCTTATCAAAAGCTAGCACCCTGATTACTGCTTACAACTATGGATTCATTGTGGTTATTTTCATGTTTTCTGTTATAAAATGAAATTCATATGCCTACATTATGAGTTTGTGAAAGTACATTATAAATTTCACTCTGCCTACCTCCTTGATTCTAACAACTTTCATTTTTATGAGAAAATTGAAAAGTTTGTGACAACAATGCATATTTATTGAAATAATTAGTTTCTTGTTAAGTTGCTGAAAAAAATCTGTTGATACAGGGTGATATGGATGGCTGGTTGTATTGCTGCCATGTCAAGTGTAACGTATCCCGCCATCAGCGCATTCACATCATCTCATGCCAGTGCAGACCAGCAAGGTAAAACCACAGATAGTGAAAATGTTGTGATAATTCCTAATATTTAGTGATGGGAAATGGGAATTTTTTTCATAATCGATTATCGGAATAATTGGATGCACAATAATCAATTAATAATTGATCAATTTGAAATATTAAATTTGTTCATTTTTGAAAGAAGAACAAATTGGTTAAAAATTCTGGAGTGATTTCTAGAATACATTTTTGATATTTTGTATCATTGGATTCATTTATTAGATTATTATTTATGATTTAGTTAAATTCAAATAGAATGAATCAAAAATCAAAGAAATAATTTGCTTTTAACAAATATTTTGAGTAATCGTTTATCAAAATTATAATCGATTATCTATAATCGGGTACCATTTCGATTAGATAATCGATTTAATCGATTAATCGGTACATCACTACTAATATTTACATAATTATATGCACACAAATAAAATTTTCGTAAGTTTGTTGTTTTATAAATTCATATAGACATTGTAAGATACTTTTCACGACCAATCTTGATTTTGATTGAAAAAAAATAATGATCAAAATATGTTTAGGTCTACTTGTTAAAGACCATGTTAATTTATACATTGGTATTAGGGTGCCTGTCATTCATCTGTCTCTCAGTCTGTCTAGCCATCTGTCTGTAGAACATTTTCAAAATAATACTCCTGAAACAGTTACTGTGTATTGTCTTAATTCAATACAAATCACCGACACCAGTAAAATTTATCAATTGCAACCACACGTACCCCATTCAACAAAATTAAACTTTCAGTATTCATTAAAATTACTGCAGTTTCAGCAAAGGACAACTTGTGTATCCATATTTTAGAATAAATAATTCCATGGTTACATCTCTTCTTACAATTTTGGTCTTATTTCAATGAAATCTTGTACATGTGCGTAGTGCATATGTTCAGAAACCAGCAAGATACATGTACATAATTCTTTAAATGTCAAACTCAGGGGAAAAAAAAGGAAAGGAAAGAAAACAGAGTTGACGAAATTCTTAAATCACTGACAGACTTTTTGTTTGACAAAGTCAAATGTTGTTTAGGACCAGATAGCAGTACATGTACCTTATTTTGTATGCTGAGAAAGGAAAATAAATAACTGCACCAAAATGACCAACAGCCTTCGATCTCACAAATTTCTTTTCTTAGGATAGAGAGTCTTCAATCAGAGACATAAATGACATGAATTATGTCTCTGCTTCAACAAATTTGATTGACCATCATCACTACTTGGCCATCTCTGCTTTTTTTGTGACCTTGACCTGTGCACCCTGATCCCGATCTTTTAAAAAATTGTATCACTCTTGATTTTGTTCAAACGGTCATTTGAACCAATGTTTTCTTGTAAGTTATCAGTCCAGACAGATTTTTGTCAGCCTTGTCGACAGGACCAACAGTTTTTCAACAAAAGGGGAAAAAAATCTCTGTTAACTAATCCAACATTTTGCTTACATTATTATTATCAGACCAGTAGAGCTACATATAACAGAGATCTCTAGTTAGTTTTAAGTTGTACAGAGTTTCTGTCTGTGAATCAGTTCTTGTTCTCTTTATCCCAATCAGTTTTAAAATATACTTTACTCTGGTATTTTTCTGCAGGAGTTGCACAGGGCATCATCACTGGAATCCGGGGCTTGTGTAATGGACTGGGACCTGCTCTGTTTGGTTTCATTTTTTATCTCTTCCATGTGGATTTGAATGAAACCACAGATCCTGACACTCAGGTGTCATCTCCAGAAAACAACACGTACCACAAAATCCAGTCAGCAATTCAGGTAAGAATTGTTTACAACACATACAGTCAAACTTCGGTATCTCATACACTGATAATGTAAGTCGTTTCAATTCCAGGGTGTTAAAATTTCACAATTTCTCAAAAAGTACCTATCGCGATGGTTTTAATTTCACAGCAAGAATTAACTTAAATTCGTATAAGCATTTATTCATTTTTTTAAAAACGAATAATAGCATTCGCGATGAGTTTAATTTCACAGAAAAATGATAAATCGCAAACAAAGTGAAATTAAATCCATTGTGATTATTTGCCAGTCTACAGTTTCTCGAATACCATGGATATGTCGAAGTAATTTGGAAGTCCCAACCACTTATTCCTTAAGTATTTTACCCTGGATATCTCAAGTCCTTGGATATCTCGAAGTAATTTCTCGGTCCCACCAATTTCATGATAACGAGTTTTACTGTATATGTGCTTCAAAATCCAGTCAACAACAAAAGATTTGCCAACAAGACATTCCACAAATCTGAGTCAATTGTTCATTCAGTTTTTTTCACTTTAAAAAAAAATCTTCAGCGCAGATGAGAATTCCTTTCTATTTGACAAAATTGAGTCAGCATTTCAGGAAAGATTTTTTTTTTTAAAACAGCAACATTTTATCTTTTCCTTTTTAGCATTTAAGAGTCTTGATCCCTCTGTTCACTCATATTAAGTTTTACTTTACAGCTATTGGTTTTCATAGAGAAATCTAATTTATAACTGAATTGCACAAAATTTTAGCAAACCTTGCAGAACAAAATATGACTGAAATGGCCTTTTAAATTGAAAATTTAATATGGTAATAGTTATCTCTCTCATCAGAGGGTCTGTGAACCTTAAGTTATGTAGCTGTATAACTAATTAAAGTTAAGCATTTAATAAATTATCTGGCAGTATTTACAGTAACTAAGTTTTTAATTGCAGAGTGTTGTTCCCGGTCCTCCGTTTGCATTTGGTGCTATTCTAGTCATCCTGGCTCTGTTAGTAGCTGTCTTCATGCCAGAAAATCCTCATGGCACTATTCAAGTCGGCAAATCAAAAGTCAGGCGGCAAAACTCACTCACATTAGAAGCTTTCCGTCTAGAAAAAGGTACACTGAAAATATTGCAGAATTTCCCAGTAAATGTGTCAATACATGTAGCAACATGAATAAAGAATTACGTGTGATGAGCTGTGGAGAAGCTAAAGGCGTGTTAAATTATTATCACTAAGTCTGTGTAATATTTTAAGAAAAGTACATCCATAGGTGTTGTGTTATAAATTTACAATGAAGTGTTTTAACCCTTTTAACTTCTTTTTCAGGTTCTAGAGAAGACCAATCTCCTTTAATTAGTCTAAGTGATACAGATCAAAATCCCTGATATCAAACAGACAGAGGACCAAGCTATTAGCTAAAAAAAACTGTGATTAATAGTCAAAAATAGCTCCACATAGTTACAAGAAATAGACTGAATGAACTCAGCATAAAGAAGCATTAACTGCATAGTGTTGTCATGCAGATTGTGATTACCACTAGGTGTCAAGGTGCTTTTATATGCTACGAGGGTTGTCCCAGAAATACAAGAACTTTTTAAATATTTTACAAACAACCTGACCAAAATTTTCCTTTTTTTTTTGCACATTGCTGGAAAATGTTTTCATTATTTTGACAACATATTTTAAGATTGTAATGTCTTATGTCTGTAGAAGTAGCATTTACAGGGTGTTACATATGGGCGGTTTTTGACTTAAAAAAAAGCATTGCCTCCTATTTTTCTTTCTTTATTACCAGGTTATACAGAAATATAATGTGACAAAATTTACGTCCATAAAGTGATCTGGAATATTAATGTGTGAAAATCTATTTAAATGGCATCATAAATGACAAATATGTGACATATGCTCATACACTTTTTGTTTGATATTGTCAAAAATGGAGACATTGAGCGATAATGCTGTCTCCATATCATAATTCACTACTGTGTTGAGTGGGGGTATGACTCTTGTCCATATGGGAAAAGAGATGGAAATGATTAAAGAACACGAACACATCTCTTATGACAGTTAGATGTTAAAGAATGGACTGGTTATCCAGTTGAAGAGGGGTTTTGTAACCCAACAAACTGAGAAGTCAGGAGCTGGATGTCATACATGGTGACTGACATTTAACTTTGTAGAAGTTAGGATTAAAGCTGGGGTTGGGAAATTGTCTATTCAAAGTATTAATTCCATGTTCTATAGGTGACTCATGTATATGTGAGACTGGACAACTCTATAGCTAACAGAAAAGCAAATGCAGTATTGAATTTATGCTTCAAATGAATTTTTAAAAACCAACGATTCCTGAACATAATTACATATTTTGGTATCGTCAGTGTTGCGCAAATGTTATCTCAAACTTGATGGAACCGAGAAAAAACTTTGAGATATCAGAGGGTTCGAGATATCAAGGGTAAAAGACTTAAAAAATATGTGGTAAGGACTTCCCAATCCCAATACATATCCATTGTATTCAAGATATCTGTGTTCGAGATACCGAAGTTCAACTGTATTTTATGGAAATTTCTTTGTAGTATACAAAAAATGTTGATTATTTGGCATAAAAATTTTGAACTACCGGTATATAAGAAATAGTAGTGAAAAAAAAATTAAAATGTTTGTGTTTTTCTGGGACAATCCTCGTATTTTACCAAAATAAGACAATTTCTGAAATTTCCTAAGGAAAAATAATAAATCTAGTGACAATAGAATTTGTCTTTCTTTCCTGTAGCTTAATTCTGTTAAATGTGCCAATCCAGTGAGCCATGTGTCTTTATGTACATGTAACATGTCATATTTTATGAGATACCTCTGTTAATTTTAGCTTGTTTTTTGTACATTTTTTCAAGAAGAAAGCATTTTTATTAGAGTATATATAAATTTCAGTTCAGTTTGCTATTGTAAGATGATTATTTTGTGTACAAGTGTGCATGTTTTAATAGGTGCAGGTGTTGTTCTTCAAGTTCTGAAAAATTGTGATTGTTTCATTTCATACACTTTGACATGTAAGTACTTTGGTGAATGTGGATGTTGAGTGCAAATAATTTTTACACTATTAGAAATGTTATTAAAAGATTGTTTTAGCTGGACACTAATTAAGATATCAGAAAAGGAAGGGGTATTTCTTTGAAGCCTAAGGTGTCAATTCTATATTAATATAAGAAATTTGTTCCTTTAAATAAGATATTTCCAGTTATAAAGATGGTTTTGATGACTTCCAAGGATAGGCCAACATTGCTTTGTTGGATACATGTGCATGTATCTCTAATAATTTTTATCTGTTGATGTTTTAAATATGCCTGAATGAAAGTAAATGTTTGTGTATTTATTCCACATGTGTTTTTTTAATGCATGCTTGATAACAAGGGTACAAAAATTCTCCACAGAGAGGTCATAGGAAAAATAATTTCTTGTTGGAATTATCATTAATAGAAAGTGTTTTTTGATGCCAATTCTGCTTTTCTAGGCAGTGCTAAAACTCCATTCTTCTAAGGGCATTGACATCCCTAAAACAATTATTACAATAAAATTTTGATATAGCAGTATTTTATCCATTTACCATTTAAACATGAACATTTCTGTTTTGTAGGATAGTTAAGGACAATCTCTGTGTGTTGTGTGTAACATCTGTATCACAGAATCAACATATGTTCATTAGCTCAACTATTCAGAGACCAGAAGAGCTTATGCGATAGTAAGGTCTCTGTCGTCCGTCCATCTGTCTGTCTGTCTGTCCGTCTGTAAACAATTTTTCAAAACACTACTCCTCCAACTGTTTTGGTCTGATTTCAATATAACTTGGCACAGAAGTAGACTACACTAAGATACATAATTCTATATATCAGTTTTTGATTTCAATGAATGGTGTTGCCCTGGTTACTAAAAATAGAAATTTCTGTGAAAAACTTTCAAAATGCTACTCCTCCTACAGTTTTGGTCTGATTTCATTATAACTTGGCACAGAAGTAGACTACACTAAGATACATAATTCTGTGTATCGGTTTTTGATTTTGATGAACGGTGCTGCCATGGTTACTAAAAATAAAAATTTCCTTGAAATACATTATAAATGCTACTCCCCTTCAGTTTTGATCTCATTTCAATATAACTTGGCACACAAGTAGACTACACAAAGATACATAATTCTGTGTATCAGTTTTTGATTTAGATGAACGGTGTTGCCATGGTTACTAAAAATAGAAATTTCCTTGAAATACTTTCAAAATGCTACTCCTGTCTGATTTCAGTATGGCATACAAGTAGACTACACTGAGATACAAAATTGTCATTATTGCTTTTTGATTTTGTTGAATGATGTTGCCATGGTTACTTAAATCAAAATTTCTGTAAAATTATTTTAAAAGGCTACTCCTCCTACAGTTTTACTCTGATTGCAATAAATCTTGCCACAAAAACAGACTAGACCAAGGATCATTATTCTATTTATTGCTGTTGCAAAGTTTCAAGTCCAGGTGCTACTTTTATCTTCCTTTATAAGTACAACCAGTAGAGCTACAGTCTCATCAGAGACTTCTGGTTTTTCTTATCCATTACTTTACAAATTCAAACTTCAAGTGTTTGTAAGTAAATCAGCAATCAATAAGTGTTGCAAACTTACCATTAATACCAAACTTAGATGTCCGAATTTTGTACATGTATAGGATTTTTTTTTTAACCACCAACATTCTATATTGTCAGAGAATTTGAGTCTTACGGCAATATCTTATCACTTTCTTGTTACTTAGTAGCAGAGCAGATATTTGGGTATACCTGGTACATGTACTAAACTACATTTGGGTCTATCTCCTTATTTTCCAGGTGACTTATTTCTTACCTAAGCATGGCCTAACACAATTAATGGATTTTACCTTGATAATTTGTTTTCCTTGTATAACAGTTTCCTTGTATAACTTTAAATAATTTTAATGTGGGTACTGTGTTTTGCAAGGACTTTGTCATTGTCCGTTATATTTGTCAGTATGGTTTGTTAATGCTGTAGTAATGATGCTTAATTATGAACTGAATAAAATTATTTCTCATAATGTGGTTTCATCTATGGCAGTGTCCATCATTGTATGGTGTAGCTGGTATATCTTTAGTTGTATAGTTCTAATCAAGTACTTGTAAACTTGTTTGAAATGGTGGTGTCTAAAAAAGCAGAGTAAGAAAAATTTAAATAGAAAAAAAATCATAATTTGATTATTACACTTCTTGAGCTTTTATATATACATGTACTAGTATTGTAATGCAGATGATATTTACCAAAGAGATATAAAGTTACAAGAAGAAAATTTACATTAAGATTTTTCCAATATAATTTGATGTCAGGGTTAGGGTTATTGTTACCACATCATAATCCCAGAGGCTAAGTACAAAGGAGTGTAGATATTTGCATATTAATGCAGTAAAGCACGCTTATAACAAACTGTTGGGGTTGGCCAGTTTTGCTTTGTTATAAGCACAATTCATATATCCGTTAAGTTTACAATATATTTTAAACTTGCAGGGAATGAAAACTACTTCACTGTAAGTGTCAATTCATTATATTCATGTTCACTATAGGTGTGTTTTATTGCATGATGAACTATCACTCTTTACTGTCTAGCATGCTCATAACAAATATTTCATTCAGTGTTAAACAGTTTTAGACTATAATATATAAAATATAGTGTAATATTGTGAAGTTCTAGTTAAATATTTTGAGACGTACATAATGGAGAAGGGGGAGGGGGGTTAGACGTCACAATACAAAGGTCAGATGCGACGTTATAGTTTTGTTACATTTACGTCACAATTGATTACATAGTTATCATAGAAGTAGAAATGGCCGTGTACGAAATCTCAGAAAGGTTGGGGTTGGTTCGAGTTGAACTAGAATGTCAGTGCGAAGTTCCACAAGACCAGCTGGCATTAGCTGTCACCGGCTCCATCCCCCAGCTGGGGAATTGGAATCTGAAGGATGCACTAATTGCAGGTACGAGCATGTCTTCTCAGCCGTGATCTCGACTTAATTGTTACAACATGACTGTTGACCAGGGTGGGGTTGGGGGTGGGGGTAAAAAAAGAAACCAATGATGCAGTTCGATAATTGAATGTTTAAAAAAAGAATTATATGAACGTAAAATGGATATCGCATTGAAGATTGAAATGGCGCATCTATGATTGCAAGCAATGTTCTTTATTTCTTTTATAGTGCGTTGATATTTTATTATAAGGTGATAGTTCTTCACTACAGGGCGTCGAATTTTTTTTAATTTGAAAACAATTTTCGTGAAAATTATAGATTGAATCTCTCATTTAAATTTTAACTCTTATATTCAGTCGTAACAGTTGCCGACCAAGCTCATTTTTTTCTCTCTAAATTTTCTAATTTAGCTTCCCTTTATTTTTATAGAGCATTCTTTTTCACAGTCTTTTCGCAGAATTTAAATTCCCACAGATGTTAATTTTCTTATTTTATTGTCGTTTTAGAGCAAGTTCCCATGCATTCAGGAAAATGGGTTGTAGGAGTGAAATTGCCTGCAGGCTTGGATTTTCAATATAAATGGGTAATTGTATGGCGAGATAGCCTCACCCCTTTCCTTTGGGAAGATGGGGCTAATCGATTTACCCATATTGAAGAGAGCGGAAGATATATATGTGTCTGGAATTCTGGAGCGGTCTTCCAACCCGTAACAGGAACTTCAGGTATGCCAAAATAAAATACTTGTGAAGTTTTGTAAATACATGCACGAAATTTCTAAACCCTTACACATTATGGTATCATACAATCATTTTGTCGATGTTATCTTAATTGTTTTGTTGCGTTTGTGTTTGTTTTGAGTTATGTTTGTTTTCTTTATTGTTTCTTGTTTGTTGTTTATTTCTTTGTAGGATGATTTTTATTTTTCTATGTGTGTGTGTATGTGTGCGCTGCTTTTTCTGTTTTGTTTTGTTATGTTCTAAATCCTAGTGACAAGGTTCGTAAATAGCATACATTAAGGTTAGACGACACACATTCCTCGATAATATATAATTTTTCTCGAAAAATTGTGATAAAAGTAAATACTACTTTAACAAGTCCCCCCCCCCCCCAAAAAAAAGTCAGAATACATTGCCAGATATTCGTACAAGATTCCAGGGGATGGTGTCTTACCCTTATCCTATTGGAAATCACTTGAATTGCAAATATCACAACACACAAACACACACACACACACAGATATATATATATATATGTATAGAGAGAGAGAGAGAGAGATAGATAGATAGATAGGAATTATAAATAACATTATGGTATATGGTAATATTACAAAGAGATTTTTAAAAAAGCTATCCGAGGAAGGTGTCAAATAGTCAAATATTTAACTTTCTGAACGACCACACTTGTGTGAAGCCTGTAAATTGTTTCTGTTCCTCGTGCAAAATTTTAAATTGTTCTCGGCTATTTGTTCACAGCTAGATCTAGTGTTGACGAGGATACTAAACTTAATTTTATTTGACTTAATTTTCGTTTTTCCATTAGATTAGAATTACCAAACTTCGGCTAAAACGAAAAAAATCTCAACTGTGTGCAGTGTTTATTTTCCAATCATAATACATATTCACGCAAAGTTACAGGCCATATTTCTTTAAACATTGATTATTTGTCAATTCAATGTTAACTTGTACAATTCTTTTTTTTTTTCCCAAAAAGAATTTGCATTCAGCAGTCCCCCAGTGAGAAATCCGCAACTCCAGGACCTGATAAGTGTATTGGAAGAAATAGCACAAAGCGTAAACGAGCATTGTGAACGTAACGGCAATGTACCAAGATCTCCTCCCCATGGAATCTTATACACTGTCTACAATTTTATTAAGTGTGGAATAGTCAGGGTATGCAGCTGGCTGTGGCAAAAAATACAGAATTTCTGGCATCCACCACCACCACCACCACCACCACCACAAGAAGAGGATTTGGGGACCTGGGTTTAATTTCTTTTTTTTTTTTTTACCCGTACTGTACATAAACTTTTTTAGGGGTACGATTCCCAATTTGACATATAAAGTCTATTTTTGGTCTCTATCGCTTATCATCAAATTTTTTTACAGGTTAATATTTTTGAGTAATTAATTTTATTTTTGAAAAATATTTTGAAGAAACTTAGCCATAAACATCAAAACTCAGTTTTAATAATCTCAGAACATGATTTTAAAATCCAAATTTTGACTGCTAGTACATTTTCTATAATATATATCATTTTTATACACAATTTCCTTACCTACATATTGAAGTAGGTCAAAGTACCTACCCCCTCCTTTTTTTTTTTTTTTTTAAAGAAAAGTATACTTGTTCCTTGTTCTAGCTTCGAT